GAAGGAAGGAAGGAAGGAAGGAAGGAAGGAAGGAAGGAAGGAAGGAAAGAAAGAAGGAAAGAAAGAAGGAAAGAAAGAAGGAAAGAAAACAGAAAGAGCCCAATGAACCACAGTCTGAATGTCACCCTGTGTCACCCTGGTCCTGGTGACAGGGCACTTTAGTCTGACAGTCACCACCAGGGCAGATGGACCTAAAGTCCCCTGGGACAGAGTCATCCCTGGGTGGCAGGCAAATGCAGGTTCCGAGGCCTTGTTCCAGGCTGTCTTGAGCCCATACTCCTGGGCTGGCCCCAAATGTTCACTTCTTGATTGCTGACAAATCCACCCACTCAACAGAGCCTAGAAACACCCAGGTTCAGTGCGGAAGGAGAGCAGAGGCTGGTGCAACCCTCCCCTGAGCTGCCGGGCTCCTGCCAGAGTCCACACCTGCCAGGCTACAGAGCATCAATAATGGATAGAGCCGGTGGTGGTGCTGGGATCAACACTTCAGCACCCCACGGGGCGGGCCGTGAACAGACTGCAGAGAACAGAACGCGATGACACTGAAGCCTAGGGTGTCTGTCTATAGAAGATAAAGGCAGCAGATCCGGGGGTTAGAGACCCGAGGCTCTGCAGGCAGAGGGTGTCCCTGACTGCACACCGCATAATTTAACATAGCCCTGGTCTACGCCCCCCGCCCCCCCCCCCCCGCATTTGTCAGAAGAACCCGAAAGTGCCATCTTCTCTGATGTCACTGAATGATGACAATATTGATCAGTGCTTATGGAGGGATTAGAACAGACTAGCCCTGGACTTAAAAGCCACAACAACATACAAGAAAGTGCTTGGCAGGCAGGCTCCTAGAGGGTTGATGCTATGTTGACTTTTCCATCTTATGAAGGGAGGAACAAGGGCTTCCTCAGAGCTGGGCTTACCAGTGTGGAGCACCACACCCAGCTTTTGACTTGGGTTCTCGGGAGGGGACTCTTGGGTAAAGGCTTTAATGGCTGAGCTGTCTCCTCAGGCCCTGGCATCTACAGTTTTCAAATCCCATTTTCTCCATGCTCCATGATTAAGCTCCAAATTGTTCCACTGTGGAAAGCTGTCTCCCAATTAATTCAATAGTTGATTGCCCAGGAAGCTGAGATTCAAACCCAGGACTTGGGTTCACACATCAGAAGTTTGAAATCCAAAGTGAGTTTGACTCTAACTCAAACAAGGGTCTCAGCGAATTCTCCTCCACCCTAGACCACTTTCAGTTAGGGAGCCCCTCGGTCCATCAGGTCGGATCATGACTGCACAGGAAGGTGAGGCGGAGCCGCACTGAGGGGCCGACAGTTTAGTAAATCAGAGGGCTCTCTCTGTGACCCAGGACCACCAAGATAATCAGCCTGGCTGAAATAGAGGCACCAGCCACTCCTGGCCCCCAGACTGCTCAATAATGACTGTGTGAATTTCACAAGCTGGTGAGTCCCAAAAGCTGTCCTTACAAAAAAAAAAAAAAAAAAAAAAGAATAAATCAATGATCAAAACAATAGCAGCATATTTCATATATTACAGTAGGAGGCTGGTGTTGCCTGGGTCGCTATTGATTAAGTGTGAGGCTTTCATTTAAAAGATAATTGGAAAGGACTGTGCACGGGGTGGGAGAAAGTCCACAAGTCCTCAGCTCTGCAGAGGCGGGTTTAAGATCTTCCTTTCTTTTTTTTTCCTTCTCTTTTTGAGAACGTAGTAATGCCAGTCAGTCCGACCAAATGTGAAAAAAATCACACATTGTCATAATTGGATTCGCTTCCCATGGGCACAGCTGCTTACCCGACCCCAGCAGGAACGAGCACCTTGCACCCCACCTCTGAGGAACACACCGGGGCTCTCTACTGCTCTCCGTCAAAAGCCAAGCTTCTCAAAAGGTCTTGCTGGCTGATGGCTCCCGTGTATGTGCTGAGGGATTAGAGCCTCTCCTTGGGGTCATTCACAGATTGGAGGAGTCTTAGTTCTTTCTGAAAAGGCCCAGACCTTTGAGTACCCTAACGATTACTTTTCATATGCATTTGTCTTCATCTGCGTGAGTTTGTGCGCACCACATGCGTGCAGGTGCCAGTGGAGGCCTAGAGGGCACTGGATGCTTTGGAGCTGGAATCCCAAGTGGCTGTGACCCACCAGGTGGGAGCGGGATGCGAACTCAGGTCCTCTGCGAGAGCCACATGTGCTCTTTAGCCAGAAAGCCGTCTCTCCAGCTCCGGGGTTCTCAGCTCTTTAAGCATTAAAATGTGACCTAATCTGATAAACAGCTAACCCCACTGGTAGATGGGGTGGTGGCTTGGTCCTGATAAATGACATGGGCAGAAGGCAGAGTACAGGCTCCATGTCACAGATGTGCCAACGGGGGCACAAGCCAATCAGGAGGCTGTGAGCCAGGGCAAGGGCAGGGCCTCTGCTTCTCTCTCCAAATGGGCTTTTAGTGCCTCCCCACCTGACAGTACCAGATTGTACAATGGCAAAGATTCCATTGGTGCCCAGAGGAACCCAACCTGGTGTTGAGAACTAGCTTTGCAGAGGTCACCTTGGGCTCCATCACTCCTGGTGAATACCAAGCATTATGCTTGGTACTGTTACAGGAGGTTTAGGCCTCCAGGCTGGCAGCTCCTGGCTCTGGAAATCCATGCAGTAGCTTCTCTTCTCTCTCTTGTTCTGCAGTGGCTGTAGGAACCAATTTCTGTATTCATGAAATAACTGGGTAATTGTCTAGCCCAGTGGTTCTCTGGCTCCGGCATGCATCAAAGTCGCCTGGAGAGCCTGTGGCAAGCAGCCGCTGGGCTCCACCCTGCAGTTTCTGCTCTAATAGGTCCGGGTGGGGTCTGAGGATCTGGGGTTTGTGCAAGTTCTTGGGCAATGTTTCTGTGGGTGGACCAGAGGGACAGAGAGGGTGGAACTGAGGGGCCCTGCCCCACCCTGAGTCAAGACTGCTGGACCTGTTCATGAGTGCACTCTCCACTTCCACCAATGAGCAGCGGGACTTCAGCATGCGGGGACGGAGGATCTAACTCCCTATAGGTCTCCCTAGAGCTCCCCAGAGCACAATCTCCTCATCTAACAGGAAGCCATCTGGAAGTCTGTGGCTTGTGGTGAGATTCCCAGGAAGAGGCTGGTATATTCTTTCTGTCTGAAACATCAGCAAAGGACTGGGGTGGGGGACGATCTGAGTGAGCCCACTGTGGGCTCCCGGCTTGGGCCGAGGACAGGCTATGGACCAGTGGGGGGTGGCTATGTGAGAGCTCACCCAGAAGAAGGTTTCCGTAGGAAGGCTCTGTGACCACAGTGCCTTCAGGGAGAGCAGAGCCCTTCCCCGAGCCTCAGAGGCACCTCTGCTCAACAATCTGTGGGTGACGGGGCTCCACCCCTCTTGTCTGTCTCCTTTCCAGTCTGGGTTCTGAGTCGGTGTGTGGTGACCTGACAGCCACCACCAGCGTGGGTCTCGGGTTGAAACCCTGTGCTCACTTCTTAGCTTCCAGAGCTGGTAATGAGTACGCCACAAACCCAAAAGACTCAGGGTTCTGGGGTCAAAGAATTTAGGAACCCTAAAATACCATGCTTCCTTTCTTGATAATCAGTGTGCACAGGCATGCTGGGGAAACACGGAGATCTTTTATAAACATCTAAGAAGATGGGGAAGAGCTTTGAAAACGGTATCTTTCCCCTCAGGTCATCCCATTCTCTCCCCAGGCTATTTCTCCATCCACTGATTGCAGTGGACTGACACGGACCAGGCCTGTGTGACATCCTCCTGAGGTGGAGACAGTGGGAGGCCACCTCTGAAGAAGTCAGCTTCCTTCTGATATGCCAAAGACCTGCAGTTGAAAGGGTTAGACTAACTTTGTAACCTGTATGTCTTCTAAAGCCTATAGTTTTGAGTTTTAGGTTCAGGTTAAGCTAAAGCCTCTTAGTACCTTTCCAGAGAATGGAAAAATGTGACCCTATCTATGAGGACAGATAGAAAAAAAGGCAAGCAAGCAATGACCTTCACTCAGCAAAAAGAAAAACTCCTGTCTTTGAGATAGCATTTCTTAGCAACAAACCCAGACTTCTTCTGAGTAGCTTTTGACCTCCAGCCAAAAGTCGGTAGCCCCTAATCTTCAAGGATGAGCTAACCACCCCCACCTTCAATTGCAGCTGCATCCACACTTGGCAGGACTGGCCAAGCTTGAGCACCTAAGACTAACCAATTATCTTACTTTATAGCTTCCTCATCCAATCCTAAATTGCCAAGACTGCAACTTCAAATCTCCTGAAATTTTTCTTTTAAAAACCTAAAGCCTTTGTCTCCTGGTGCCACTCTTTGCTGACCGGCAGGGGTGACCCCATTGCACAATGGTTAATAAACCTCTTGCTTTTGCAACGAGTCTTGGTCTGAGGGAGTTTCTGGGAAGGGCTCGATCTTGAACTCCTGAGCTGTGAGACCCCAGGTCTTACACAGTTAGACACGAGGTAACTGAGAAAAATTTCAAGTGCGGCTTGGACATCTGCCCTGATGGTCAGCCTCCCTTTGTAGTTAAATGTCCTTGACACTTAGGTATTAGAGCCAAGATGCACTTCCCGTTCTCTTAGCTTCCTGGCTGCCCTCACAGTGTGACCACTCAGAGTGATCTGCCCCCACCTGCCACCACCATGCTGCGGTAGACTATACCACCTGGAACTGTAAGCCAGAATAAATGCTTTCTTGATTTGGCCAGACATTTTGATGAAGCGTGATGTCATTGGAGCATGGCTTACACAGCAGTCCCAACACTCTTCCCTTTCTCCTTTCATAGGGATTTTGAGAAGAAATACCCTAAAGGAAGACTTGGGAGAGAAAGGGCCCTCTTCCTCCATGAATATGCCACCTGCATCATAAATATTCATAAGCGCTTCCAAAATCATGGGGTAGCTCATTCTAATCTCTCCCTGAAGTGCTTTCTTTGTTCTGCTAAATAAACTGCACCAACAGGTAGTCTCCTGCCTGGGCTCTTTCTTTTAGCAGCATTGTCAGGCTGTGTACAATCCCTTCTGGAGCTCAGAAGGTCATTTAAGGACCCAGACATCAACTCTCCCAGACTCCTGAGTCTCCTGGGCCAACGGACTCTAGAAATGACATTTCTAGTGTCACTTCTGCACACATGACACTGTGCCGTCTTGACTTTGTAAGCGCGACGGGGACAGGAATAATTTGCTCCCGTGTCGTCTAGGAAAGGGGGGACCCAGAGTGGTACCAGGTCACTGGGTGAGACGAGAACTGGGTGCTGAGTTCCTGTGAAGAGGGTGGGTGTCCTCAGCGAGAAGTTCACTCACTTGGCTGTGCCCCACGGCCACTGCTTTCTTGTCAAGATCCAGGGTCTGCAAGAGTTCCTCTACCACCTGTGGGGAGGAGGAAGAAGGGAGAGATTCAGAGAGAGCATGGAGTGAGGAGACTCAAGCTGAAGGTGGGCTTACTGCATGACAGGGCACAGGCAGACCATATCCAGGCCCCTGCCCTGGGCTCTTGAGCCTCCAAGAGGCCCAAGCATGTCCTCCCTACACCACAATCATTCCACAGAAGGTCTAAGACTTAAGATGAAATGTGTATCTGAGTCTGTGACAAGGAGGCTGTGCCCTTCGGGTCTGACCTTGGTCACATGGGGGAGGGGGGAGGCCTGTGTTTGTCATCTCTTTCCTCCATGGCACTGAGACATTGCCCTGTGCAATATGAGTACAGTGAGAGCTCACAGAATGTGGGAGAGGGTTAGAAAGAAGAAAGGCAGGAAGGAAAGAAGAAAGGAAGGGAGGGAGAAAGGAAGGGAGGGAGGGAGGGAGGGAGGGAGGAAGGAAGGAAGGAAGGAAGGAAGGAAGGAAGGAAGGAAGGAAGGAAGGAAGGAAAAAGTGGTAAGAGGGAAGGACATCCAAGTCAGAGAGATTCAGACAGAGGTGAAAGGAGACAGTTCCCTGGAGAAGAAATTAATTTCCTCAGAGATTTTGGTGGAGGTAGAGATGAACTCCTGTGGAATCTTCCTTTTGTCAAATCGTCACAGAAACATTGAAACAACCTGAAAAACTCTGCTGCCTCAGGTTGCCCCTGCCCATGTGGCCACCATCACCCTCCCTCTCTACCACCCTTAGGTGCCCCCTCCCACAAATAGTCTGAAAGTCTATTATCAGGATAACTTATCAGGAGAGTAATTGTAACACTCAGGAGGAGGGGCAAGCACTCCAGCTGAAGGAAGCAGCTGCTAACCCCCAGGCCAAGGGCATCATGAGATACTAAGCCGCCCCTTAAAATTGCTTGTTGAAAATCTAGTCCCAGACCACAATCAACCTCTTCCCCTGATGTCCTGAAAGAGCCTCCTACCACATTCCTCCTGAATCTTAGTGGTTTCATTTATTACCTTTTAGCCAAAAGAAAAAAGAAAAAAAAAAAAAAAAGAAGAAAAAAAAATGCTCCAAGGGAGTTGTAGGCAGCCAAGATGCATAAAGCCAATATACCTAAATATAACATCTCTTCTCTCTGCACAAGAGAAAAAGCATGATAAAAAATTGGCTGAAAATAAGATGGACAGGGAAAGTGGAATCCCAGCCAGAAATATTTTTCTGAGTCTCATTTGGAGGCAAGGACTAGAGTGTGTGCTTGAAGAAGAGGTGCACAGATCTGGGGTTAACCCCAGCACTTTAGGAGGCTGAGGCAGGAGGATTGTGAGCATATGATAAGTCTGGGCTACCTAGAAAGACCCTGACTCAAACAACAATACCTGGAGTTGCATCCATCTGGGACCAGGTCTTACTTTTATCACCCATAAAAAGATTTCAGGCCAGTACATTACTGCCAGCGTGGGATTCCTTTAAAAAAATGATGGAGGAACAAATCACAGCTAGGGGCCTCACCTACTACATGATCTATAGACAACACCCCAGGAAAGTTGAGCACCAACCCACACCTGCAGCTTTCCATTTGAGCAGAACCCTGGGAGGGAGAGGGTCTAACAAAAGACAAGCCTCACATATTCTCAGAGGCAGGATAGACACGGCCTAACTGTGTTCATCCACCAGAGGAGTGGAGGGCTCTTCTTTAGATCTTGATTTTCTTAGAATCCTTCAGATGTGGAGAACAACATTGGCCCTGGAAAAAAACCCTTCTGTCTTGCTGACTTCAGAGAGACCTATGAGAAAACTCTGGGCCAGCTGACAGAGAGCAAACGAGGGACATATTTCTGATCCCTTCCTCAGCTTCAAGATGAAGATAAACAACCCTGTCCAGACTTTAAAGCCCCCAGGGAGGCTTCACTGAGCAAATAGGCAAGGGAATTTGTAAATGACTTTGCATTTAATTATTTAATTGTTGTTTGTGCTATCCTCATTAATATTAATATGAGATTGAACCATATGGAAAGGCTTTGTTTGGGCTAGATATCAATTATTTAATTTGGTCTAACACAATGCAATCGTTGTCCAACAACCTGTTATTTAAAACGAAAAGATGTGGCAGGGATCCAGGCCTCTGTGTGGAATGGCCTCCTTGTCATATCAGCTCTTCCACAGACACCGTGGCTCATATCTTAGCGTGGCATGCTGGTCTGCGAGTAAAACATTGGTCACTTTACTCCAAAGAAACATAGTTTTATCAGGCATACTAGCGTATGCCTCTAATCCCAACACTCAGGAGGCAGAGAGCATGGCTGTGCATGAGTTCAAGTTTAGCCAGATTGGTCTAAACAGAGAATTCCTGACAGTATAGATAGCAAGTTCTAGTCAGCCAGGGCTACATAGAGATCCTGTCTCAAACAAAAGGAAGAAACAGTTTTCAGCCTGACCTTTAATTCCAAGTGTTATTCCAACGGCCTGTGAATAATTTGTGCATCAAAGCCTTTGCAAAAATAGTATGTTATTTTCCTTAGGAAGGAAGCAACCGAGGCCCAGTGCAATGCGAAGAGTCGTGGACCAGGAGAAGATGCTGGAAGACCCAGGAGCTGGCTCAGGAATCTGTTCTCCACCCTCTGATGCTGGCACCAAGCCCTGATCCTCCACTCATTGACTGCATGGCACTGGGGAAGCTGCTCCCCTCTCGGGTCCTCAGTACCTGGGGCCATGCACTTGGCTTAAAGAAGAGGACTTACAGAGGTCATAGGCATGGCACACATGGAAATGGTTTCCAAAATGGTGGAGCAAGGATCTTCCTAACCCCGCTGTGTTCTGTACAGCCATCATGACAATGGCTACAGTTTCGTAAAGGAACAAATTCAACACTCAGCAAATTGAACAGAAAGAGTCAACAAAGTGAGAACCAGTGGCTATGAGAAGCCTGCTGAAGTCTGGGTCAGAGTAGTAGGAGCCAGCAGCCATCTTGACCAGGGCCCTCTCATCTTTGCTACCCGAAGCCCAACCAGCTCTGACTAAGCAGTGGGGACACCAAGTGAGTCACACCAAGAAAGCAGCAGCTTCTCAGCCAGAAAGGGCTCCTGTCTACAGATCGAGGCATGGCTAACCCATCCCCCAGGCCTGTCAGAAGCAGCAGGAACTTGGCAGCAGCAGCAGGCAGGGTCAGTCACAGCTAAGGCAGTGGCTCTGACCGAGGTGATCACTGGGCCCTACAACTAGAAACCTTGAAAACTATAGGAAATGGAACAGGCATTAGGCTTGAGGTGCCTTTGTATTTGTGATCTCATGCTAAGACAAGAACAGGAGCCATGGACCTGGTCGTGGGACAGACAGGAACAGACACTGGAGCCCAGCGTCTGGCAGCAGAAGTGCAAACAATGCTCCCTATTGCACCCAGACTCCTCAGTAAAATAGAAACACTGCACAGAAAAAAATCTCTGCCGGCTCTGAGAGACAGATGCAGATGCAGCCCTCACCGGGGAGGTCCCAGGCCCCAGAATAAAACCACAGGCTTTAAAAGCCAGGTGGAGACACCAGGGGTTCATGCTAGGGAAGGCAAGCCATTAGATAGTTAGAAAAGACCCGTGTCTAGAAGTCACTGAAAACCCAGTTTTCAATAGAAACAGAAAGACACATACAAAATTCCAGGTATTAATACTTGTAATGGGGAAAGATGGCCAATAGAATAAACCTCCTGGGCTCGGAACATGTACTTAGAATGCCCATTTCCAAGTATTCACTGTAGATTTGTCCAGAGACCTGAGGAAAGTACCACTTAATAAGTAAAAAGACAGAATAGGCTGCAGGTATCTCCACAGCAGGCTCCCTGATGGGCATGTACAGGGTCCTGGGTTTGATCCCCAACACCAAAGAAAGAATGTCATGATGAGCCTTAAATGTCAAATACCAGTAAAGAGATGTAAAGATATAAACGACTAAAAACCACAAGTGGAAGCTCTTCATTTGTGAAATCAAATCAACTTCACCACCGTGGGGCTCAGTGGCAGATGAGATGGTGAGCTGGGAGTGACTGCTCTGAAGAACAGAGGAAGGTGGGAACGAAGAAAAGTGAGTCATGCCTGGCAACGGGACTGAGCCGGCTTCTGTATATGTACAGTTTGAAAAACTAGCACCTATAGAGCAGTGTGTTCCTCCATGGTTTCTGCTTTCAGTCCCGTCCTTATTTACCCCGTGATGGACAGTGAGTGACTTGTAGGCTGAAATAAGCCCGTTGCTCCCTGAGATTCTTTTGTTCGTGGTGTTTGTCACAGCCATGGAAAGCAAACTAGGGCCTGAGTGATGAAGTCCAGAAGGTAGTCCAAAGATCCTGGGGGAAGAGGCTTTGTCAATCAAAACCTCTACACCTTACAATCCCCATCCCAATCCCCCCAAAACAAAGCTGGCTCAAAGCCTCACCCACAGGCACACGTCCTGGGAAGTCACTGCTACCAGATCTTGTATTTGCATTAAAGGCTAAAAGAAACAGTGACTCAAACCTTCAGAGATTCAACAACAGCAGAAAGCATAATAGCAAATAGTGTAAAGCCCTGTGTGGTCACACACACCTTTAATCCCAGCACTCAGGAGACAGAGACAAATGGTTCTCTGTGTTAGAGGCTAGCCTGGTCTATAGACTGAGTGCCAGGACAGTCGGGGCTATATGGTGAAAGCCTGTCTCAAACATGAAAACATTGTGAAACTATATTTTTAAAAGGAATTTAAAAGACATAAGATTAGGTGAAAGAAAAATGTAAAGTTGTATTAATGGGGTTTTGATGTGTACATGTAACAATAGCACGGAGTCGTCAGGAGATGAAGCTATGGAACAAAGGATCTTTCTCCCACTAGAACTGAGCCGACATTAATCTGAAGGGATCCTGATGAATGAAGACACAGTCCATCATCTCTGAAATATTGGCAAGTTCCTCAGATGGTCTGTGAGTGGAAAAGCTTACCCTATACAAAGTAACTCAGATGGCTGCTTGACACAGCCCAGTGGAAGGGTCAAAAATGAAACAAGCAAGCCCTTCAAACAGCAAATGTAAGAGAGATGGCATCAGCACTGACACAAACAAAACTGGACTTAAACCAAAGCCATTGCTACAAGCAACTAGGAACCTGTCCAGTGATGAAAGGGTTAACCCGCCAGCCAGCCAGGTAAATTATCTTTACACCTAGGCAGAGAACCCCAAGACACAGGAGAGACAGAAAATGGATAGAATTAAAGAAAATCAAGACACCTCAACATTAGTAGCCAGGGGCATTAACACCTGTCTCTTAAATAATTGATAGATCAATTAGACATATAAATTCTGCCCCAGAGTTTTGTCAAGGGCTTCCTCGGATATTGGGGAGGATGTAGCCAGGAGAAGGTGGAGCAGAGTCTTCACATGGGGCTGTGAGGCCCTGAGAAAAGGTCGGGACTGTGCTGGGCACTGCACTGAGCTTGCCTTTGTTCAGACATCTACCAGCTATCAAGGACGTAAGTACTTAGAAAGGCATGAAAGAAGATACAGTCTGCAGCCAAAGCCTCCGGCTCTGATGTCAACTCATCTTGAGCTCCTGAGTGCCTCCCTTACACACAGACCACATCATGGTAGGAAGCTCCGCTTGGCCCTCAGGGTACCGACCGTGGCAGCATACCTGCAAAGAGATGCATCCGCAAACACCCCACACGTGTACTCAAACTGGCTCAAGTGATGGAGAAAAGAGCGAAGAGAAGAGCTACCCAAAGGCAAAGACCCAGCACATGAGCAGGGAAGGGGTGGGGGGGAGGCGGTGTGGATTCAATTTCCAGAGAGCTAGGTCAGCACACCAAGTGTGGCAAAAGAACTGAATTCAGGTGGATGCTGGACTGAGGAAGCAGCCTTGTGCCTCTGCCGCTGGGCTGTGAGCCACTCCCAACACCACCTTTTCCTCTGCCATGCTGGTCTCTGCCTACAGCTTCCTCCTCCTTTAAGCTGTTTCTCATCAAGTCCTCCCAGCAAGAAAAGTAGTGCAACTACGCTCTTCGCCACACTTTTGATTAATTAATTTTAGATGTTTCTGTCTGTGTGTCTGTGAGAGTTTATGAGCACTTTGTATAGGGAGGAAGCCCAAAGAAGGTATTGGATCCGCTGGAGCTGGAGTTACCGGGAGGGGGGGGGCGATGAGCTGCCAGGCATGGGTGCTGGGAACCGAACCTGGGTCCTCTGCAATTGTACCAAGTGCTCTTAACTGATAGGCAACTTCTCTACCCAGGTGAATGGGTTTTTAATGTTCTACATAAGGACCCAGACAGACTCTGGGTTTGAATCCCAGCTCTACTCCTGCCTGGCTTCAGCCACCTCTGCCGAGGAAACAAAACAAACAAACAATAAACAAAAACGCACAGCACAGTTCCCCGGAGGGGGAGAAAGCTTTGTCCTGGAAGGCCGCCTCAGGCTGTAACTCACCAGTGCCTTGAGGGTGAGTGTCTGCCTCTACCTGCTTAGCCTTGGGGTCTCGGGTGTGCATCCTAACACCAGGAGACTATTTTGTGATGCCAGCGTGCGGGTACCCAGAATAGGCGCTTCTCTGAGGCACCAGCAGGACCCTTGGGCCCATCTTCCACCCTTACAGGAATCCCCTCTGCTGCCGTCTGGCGCCTAATGAGGACGTTGACCTTTCTTAGCCGTCAGACTTGTCCCACTGGATCCTGAGGTCTTAACCACTGCATGCAGAGCCCTCCGGCCTGCCCACCAGCGGCACATGCTCATGTATAATTCATGGCCCGTCGCGTTGCCTGACGAATGAATATTTATTAGCTTTTTCATAAGAGGCAGGATGGTGTTTTCTTTCTTTGCTACCAAAATTCTATGCCCCAGCAAATGAAATTTGTGAAAAAAAAAAAAAAAAGAAAAAAGAATGAGAAGCAAAAATAATGATAATAATAATAATACTTCCAACCAAGTCCATTGCACTGGTAATTTTCCATTCTCTGGGGCCTGGAGTGTGTATGGAGGTGGATTCGGCTTAGCTGCTACAGAAGCCTGCTGACTCGTCCAGAGTGAGGACATTGCTGTGTGCCACACCCTTCGCCCCTGCAGAAAGCCCCCCACATCACCAGCCTGCTGCATTTACAGCTAGGCAGGGGTCCCAGAGTCCCCAGCTCTGTGGGCCCAGCATGTGTGGACCAAGGACAGAGGACCCCAGATGCTGACTGGGTTGAGACCAAACCAAACTGTAAGGCTTCCAAAATGAGCGGCCAAACAGAGAGGGGACAGCTTACTCACACACTGACAGTGTGTGTGTGTGTGTGTGTCAGGGGGTCACACAAAAGGATCTGCTGGAAGTGCCCTTGTTCTGGTACACAGAGGACAAAAGCCAACGGGACCTAAGACTGTGACTCTGTTTACCCCTCCTACCTCTTGGTTCACTGAGGATGGCAGCGTGGAGGATTCCAAGTACACTTGGGCCTGTGTATGCATTTGCACGTGTGCATGCACCTGTGTGTGCACACACAAACATGTGTCTCTGTATGTGTCCGTGTGCATGTGTGTTCAGCCACCGGGTTAAATTATTGAGTACTCGCTAGGAAACTTACTTTTGGTTAAAGACCAGGACTCCTGAGACATCACAAGAGGACTCGAGATGACTGTCCCTGAGCTGAGGTTAGCAAATGGTACATCAGAGAGTGTCCCTGGAGAGGGGACGGCCAGCGTAAAGGTCCTGAGATTGCCGGTTCATGACATTCTTGTGTGAGGTACTTCTCAAACATCCCCAGAGGCTGCCCCTGGGCGTGGAGGCTGAGCCAGTCCCCCTGGGTTCGTGCTGCCACAGTCCTCATGAGCTGGGACACACGACACACTGTTCTATGCCCTCCTTTTCTTCTCTTATATATCCTCATGCAAGTTGCGGGAGGGCATTCTGGGTGGGGGTGGTCTCGGGGTGTTGTTGGGGTGCCATCTGGGGCTGGAGTCTGACTCAGATCACACGCCACCCTCTGTGCTGCTGCCCTCAAGGCCCTGCTCTGAGATCCCTCCTGGTCCAGCTGCCCCTTGAGCAAGCCACACAGAACAGGCTCTGTGGCCCACGTGGGAGCACCTGCTGTCCCCCCCCCACCCCCGACTCTCTCTCCAGCCAATGCCACATACCTTTCTCTCATCTAATCCCTCGGGGGTCAAGGCAAGCTTCTTCAGCAGCAGAGGTTCCAGCACCTGGAACCGACGGCGGAACTGAGCTAGCCCCATGTGTTCGGCATAACCTGGAGACAACACGGGCGGGGAGACACGTGAACCCTCCTTTCTCTCCCCCGAGACGTTATTCAGCTCCCTCTGCCTGTGCTGATGTGCTTGCTGCATGGTGGGGATGGGGGGCTCTCGGCTTTGCCTCCAAGGACTCCCAGCTCCTCTATCAAACGGTCTGGTCCGAGGTGTCACCACTGAGCTGGGGTTGGCAGTGACCGTGAGATAGAACATCAGAGACCTTACGCAAGTGGCCAGCCCAAGACGGCTGCTGGGCCTCTGCCGAGAGCGGCTGAGCTCATACCTTCCGAGGCTGAGCGGCAGAAAGGAATGGGGCGATTTCAGACCGAACTCAACGAACATGATTAGCCAACGCAGAAACCACACTCCGTCGCCCAGCAGTGCCTGGCCGAAGCAACGCGGCCAGTAAAGGCGGCTGCAGCCTGTCCTGCTGAGTGCTGAGCACCACACCCAGTCTGACCTCATCCCCTCAGACCCCAGTTCTTCCGCCCACACCCCCCTTGCCCTGACCCTGTGGTCCCTTTGCTGATTGTCCTCCTGCCTGCCGCATGGGAGCTGATTCTGCAGCCTCAGGACCTAATTGTTACTTTACCAATTCTGGGGGTATCCCTGCTTGCTAAGAGTAGGACACACACCCTCCCAAAGCACCCATGAACCTCTTGATCCTACTGCAGTGACACAGATCTTCACACTCACTTATGGTCTTAAACCTCAAGCTACGACTGGTTTGGGAAAGCCCACCCAACAGGTGTGGAATGTTGCCCCTGGCCTTCTAGGAGGTGGGAACAATCCTGGAAGCTATGTGGGCTTCAGAGTCAGGGGACCCAATTCACATCCAGGCCCTGCCTTGTCCCTGCAGGGTGACCCTGAGCAGCCCGTCACCATTTTGAACCTCGGTTGCTTCATCTGTTAAATGGGAGGCAGAAGCGACAACATCTCTCACTGCCTGCACAGCTCAGGGCACACGGTGGATGTCCATGTTCCACGACGGCCTGACTAAAGTGAGCTTGTCCCGTGGCTGCCTGGCACACAGTGGGTGGCACCAGGGCAAGGTGCCCTGTTCACAGCTGTCTCCTACCTGCCCTGTGCAGTCGTAATGCCTCCAGGATATGAGAGCCTGCGAGCTGAACCCTCAGTGCTGGGATATCCAGAGCTGGGGGCTCATTGGCTCCACCTTGGTCCCCACCAGGCTGTGGCAGTGATGGAGTTCCCAGCCCAGCCTTGCTTTCCACTGAGGTTGGCACAAGACAGTGGATGAAGTGCAGCCGAGACCGGCTCAGCAAGCTGATGAGAGCATCCTGGAATCAAAGCAGATGGGGAATGAGAGCTGGTGTCTCGGGGGGAGCAGTCAGGCATCCGGATGCTCCCCAAGTACACATTCACCCTGGACTGCGCATCCCTGAGGATATGTCCCACATCCAGGCCTTGCGCTTACTGCCTTATGCTGAGGAAAAAATAGAGGACCTTTATAACAAGCCCTGCGAACACAGGTGAGGAAACTGAGGCATGAGGGAGGCCACTGAGGGGCCCATGTCACAGAGACACCCCTTCCTCAACAGAGGGACTGCAACTGGAAACTAGGACTTAGAACTCTGAGGATTTCATTCTTCAAACACACCCTTCCCATGGTCTGCGATCTGCTTCGGCTTGACACCAAACACCTGACCTCTGACCTCCAACCTTGGGAAGTCACCTCTCAGGGGTGTCCATGGCCACACTTCTCCAAGACTCAGAACCTCCGTGCCCCCTCAGCAGAATGGGAGGGTGGCCATCCTGTGGTTTTTCAGGGCATGGTAGAAGGGAGCAGCCTGGTGGGGCAGTGGTTCCCGCCACGGAGGTCCACGGCCCCACAGGTGAGAGCCTAGGCCACTCACTCACCATCTGCAGCTTGATCTGGGCACAGGGAGCATTCCTCTTCACGGCAGCAAGGCCGCTGGCGAAGGCCCTCCGCACCACGCGGCTCCGGTGCAGAGCCTGCTGAGAGGTGCCCTCAAGCCCCGCCACAGCCCGGCACACAGGAGGCAGCTTGGCCCGGGCCTGGAAGAGGCGCTGCAGCTCCTCCCTAGCGAGGAAGAGAGAAAGGGTTGCAGGGACTCTCTGGGAAGCTCATCCACGAGGGAGGAAGGCAGAAGCCCCTCCATTCACAACACTCCTGCCTGTGGAGCCTTTCTCAGCCGCTCCCTCCTCCCCTGCTCATGAGCATCTTCCTCCTGTCTGTCCTACAAAGCCTCCATATATTGAAGGCGCAGCCATGTTAATTATCCCTGGAACAGGCCAAGTATACAGTAGGCGCTAACTGTATGACTGTAGGAATGAATGATGCGCTGCTACAAGATAAACACGAAGTACCAAGGCTCACACTAAGCAGTCTCCGCCTTCCATCTGCCTTCCCACAACTGGCCTCTTTCAAAATGCCTGGTGAGGGTACCTGGCTCCTAAGCCTCCCTCATGAACCCAAGCTGGCTTTGCTCCAGGACAGAGACAAGGAACCAACCTAGGTGTCAACAGAGGAATGGACGAAGAAGTGTGGCTTGTAACACAGTGGGATTCTTTGTAGCGATGATGAAAAATGAAGTTAGGCCACTTGAAGAAAAATAGCTATCACTGGAAATAATTGCGTTCAAAGACCCTGGCCAGTCTCAGACAGAACCACTGGTTCCTCTCATCTGTGGACTCCAGTTATGATAGAGACGCAAAACCACATATGTGATGATTGCATGACAGCAGATAGCAATCCGTCTGGGAGCAAAGAGGGGTAGTGGGGGGAGGGGATAGCGAGGTAGAATGAGAACAGGCCCAAAGCACATTATAAATTACCCAGCGGTTACCATCCAATCCTTCAAGGAGAGCAAGCCACGTGAGGGCCAGGAAAATGTCTTCACGTAATCCTTCATCATAATTTTAAATAATATATCAAAGTTGTTCTTTTTTTTTTCCAGAAAGAAAAAGGCAGCTGGGCAGAACCTCCTGTCCCAGTGAGTGGGGCTGGGAACCAGAGGCCTGGTACCTGCCAAGTGCAGCCAGCTCTCTCTCCTCGTGAAGCATTCAGGGATATTTTGTCACTACCCAAAAGCCTAGGTCCCACTCCAGCCCCAGCACTAAAGACAAACGATACAGACCACTGGGGACTGGCTCACAGGAGCCTGAGGAGTTCGGAATGGATTACAAGCAAGAGCAGATGGCAAGAGTCAACAGAGAGGTGGCACGAAGTGTGCTGAGATCAAGGCCCCGAGACAGCACCCAGGAGCCACCATCTTGTGGTTGACAAGGCAGGTGCTCCCAGACCCAGCCCTGGTCTGATAGGCGGCTCTGTCCAATGGAGCTGACCTCTGCCTTTGCATTTTTCACGTGACCTTGGGCAAGTCCCTGTTCTTTTCAGGAGCCCTCTGCCCCCCAGCTATAGATGACTGAAACAGTACGGCTGCAGCTCGAGGAACGCAGTCTCCTGAAAGCCTTTGGGACCGTAGGTGGAACCCTGGTGGGCTCCCTGGGGCCCCGACTACAGATCCTGGCTTGAAGATCAAGCAAGCCTGGCTCCCTCAGTCAGCGGGGTTAGGATCTATAGATGACTAGCTGCCACAAGTTCCAGGTGCTGTTCTAGCTTTGTTTATGTGGTGGTTTGGTTGTTTGTTTTAAAATAGGATTTCACTGTGAGACCTGGGAGGCCAGGACAGTCTCGACTCTCACAGATCTACCTGCCTCTTCGTCCCCCACCCCCCTTAAGGGCTGGGATTAAAGGCATGAATCACCAGGCCTGCCAAAGCCTTCTAATAGGATTTATGTCTTTCAGCCCTCGCCCCAGTACTAAGACCCTGGCTCACACAGTCTCACCATTCCCTGACTGAGCAACTCTCACTTGGCTTCAGCTGCAGGGTCTCAGGAGCAGGAAGGAACACTACAAGACCCCAAGGCATCCATGCATGGCCACCAGCCTCGAGGCCATGCTGTGGAGTAGAGGCCCGGTGTTCCCAGTATGGGGGAGAGGACCCTAAAGCACAGCACACACGTCCCTTTCCTGCAAAGCAGAGCCTGCCTGCTGACTCTTCCGCCTGGTGTGGCTTTGATGTTACGGTGGAGGAAGCCATAGGAGAGAAAGCGGCTGCTCATTCTCACACCAAAGGGTGGAGCTAGGGCTTAACTCCAGTGTGCCAGACTCCAATTCACTAACTCTCCTTTTACTAAATTCCCTATCTGGGTATCTGCGAGGGCTATGAACTCCCATGGCCTTCTGGGTTTGGGATTTCCAGTGAACTCTGATCATAAGACCCTAGATGCTAAGAGCTCACACAGGTTCAAGCTGTACCCTGGCACCGCCAGCAGAACCAGCTCCATGGTCAAAGGCAAGGGACTTCCTCACTGGGATGTCTGTTTCCCCTTCTGTAAAATGGGGCTAAGGATGCAAAGTCCCTCTGAAGAGTGATGAGAGAGAGCACGGGTGGGCCGTCAGTGGACACTCCTTCCCGATGGTCTGCCTGCTGAGACACCAGCCCCTCCTTCCCTCCCCGCCCTAGGCTCTTCCCCTGCTGGCTTCTCACACAGACCCTGAGAGGCACGCACCCTCACAAAGCAAGCGTTTTCTATTAACCTGGAAGTGGAGTCTCTATTGCTGCAGGCTTCATGCTACTGCTCCTGGGACGAGTGAGCAGGGCGTGCATAGCGTTTTTCCTGCTGCTACAGAACACATTGCTTTGGTTTTTATGAGCCCCAGGGCGCTAGGATGTCCATAAATGTTACTCCAGCCACACCATCTCTCAGATACTTAATGAAAGGTGGAAAGCCAAAAAATACGGAGACACGGCTTTTCAGCCGAGAGTTGACCTCCCTGAAAGCCTGCTCTGCTGGGCCACTGGGTCAGCTCTGCCCCCACAGGAGACGTTCGTTATATGACTCCAGTTGGAGTCATGGCTTTCCTACTGCAGCACACAGGATGGGACTTCTAGACTGCCATTGCAGTCTACCGGGTTGTTTCTGAACAGGAACAGCACAGGGGTGGATGGCCCCTGCCCTGTCCCATGCCCCCCTTGGCTCACCTTTTGGACTGCTGCAGGACCTGGGGGGCATCCAGAGCTGACAGGTTAGGCTTGGCTCTGCAAAGCCAGCCTGTGAGGTCATAGCGCACAGGATCCCGCCCCAGCTGATGGGAAAGCTCACACTGAAGGGGCTGCTCACAGGTCCTGAGTGCGGGGGGCCCTGGAACAAGACGGTGTCGTGAGTGTTGAGGCCAGGGGGGAGGTCTGTCAGGAACATGCACACTCTGTTGGCGTACCCTACCACACGTTTTAACATTAGTAAATGTGTTTCTGGATAGCTAACACTAGTTCCCAATACATACCCTCCTCAGACTAGTGAGGTGCATGCATTACTTCTGGGGGAAAAAAATTATCTCTTTTTGTATTCTTGAGCCCCAGACACCTACTTGGCCAAAGTATCCCAGAACACACATTATTTCTTAGTTTCCTAAATGTACCCAGCTGTCACCTGGGCTGTGATTTACATCACGTTTTGTTTAAACCAACTCATGTTTTTTATAAGCACACTCATTTAAAAAGAAGCGTCTGACTATGAGCCTGATGTATATAAGCATCATTTCTTTCCTACTGTGCATGGAGATAAGGATCTGTTAAACACTTTAAAATATGTATCTGTGTGCAGTCTGAAGTGCCATGAATCAAACAAAGCTGACATTGGGAGATTCTGGCTCCAGCCTCTTGGTTACAAGAGACAGGATCAGAGACACAAACGACCTGGCCTTGGGGTTAGAGAGAATAGATTGCCTGGAATGTATTACTGTAGGAAAGGGGCCAAGGCACAGAGTCTCTGGCCTTAGTTCCCTGGTCTGCAAAGTGGGGCTTGCATAATGCATACTTGCCAAGGCGGGTAAGGGTCAAAGGATGTATAAAACACGTAGATAGCGCCTGGCACGTGGTACTCACTCAGCAAGCGGCACATTGCCACCACTGTTTACTAAAGTTAATCTTTGGCTGAGGCTTCAGAATCACAAAGTGTTTCTCTTTGTCCTTAGCACTCGGTGCCAAGCTTGGCATATGGACGCTCGGAAGCATTTCGGATAGATGCATGCATGGATGTATGTATGGATGGATGGATGGATGGATGTATGCATGGATGGATGGATGGATGGATGCATGGATGGATGGATGGATGGATGGATGGATGGATGGATGATGGATGGATGGACATGCCTGAGAGATAGTTTTGTCTTGTACTGTTTCAGTCTTTCATTAGCTCCCTCTGTAAGACTGGATCTCCAGACAGGGTCTTTCAGCCCTTTCTGTTCAACTCCTAGAACAGAATTCATAAGACTTGACTATCTAGGGACACAGGCTCCTTAGGGCTTCCTCCAACCCTTGTTGGGTTTAGTGGTGGTTTGAATGAGAAAATCCCCCCTTAGGTTCATAGAATACTTTTTCACCAGTGAGTGGAACTGTTTTAAAGAATTAGGAGGTGAGGCCTTGTTGAAGGAAGTGTGTCAATGGTGGGGAGTGGCCTTTGAGTTTTCAAAAAACCATTCCAAGCCTAGAGACTTTCTTTTCCTGTTGCCTACAGATCTGGATATAGAACTCTCAGCTCCTTCTCAGCACAATGTCTGCCTGAATGCCACTATGTTCCTCACCATGCTGACAATGGACTAAACTGGAACTGTAAGTAAGCCCTAATTTTTTTAAAGTATGTTTGTTTGTTTGTTTGTTTGTTTCATATGAGAATTGCCTTGTCCATGGTGTCTGCCCAAGCAACAGAACAGTGACTCAGACAGGCTCCCTAACCTGTGTGAGGACACTCAGCTGAGGTCATGGCACCATCCCAGGTTTTGTTCTGATAAGCTCAGAGCTCATCAGAAAGATCTTGGGAGGGGTGTGTGTGTGAAGCCTTTTAATCTACACCTCAGAGTTAATGTGTCTATCTTGGCCCACTCAGGACAAAGAACAGAGTCTCCTTGGGGAAAGGGCCTTAGAGTATCCTGCTCAGGGTATCTGGGATGGGACAATTATGCCTAGTGGAGGAAAAGGTTACAGACATCAGTGAGTCCCTTTCTACTCCAGCCGTGCTGCACAACAGGCCTTGTCCTCCTGACCCTGCTTCTAGTCTCCTTTGGCTTTAAACTCAGGATCCAGAAGACACTCCATTTGAGAATTTCATTTCTTTGGATCCACATCATTGAGTTTTCACATATTCATTAATTTTGTGTCAAGAACATGAGCACCTCATCACATCAGAGCTACTCTAGAGCCTGCCTCTGTGAGGGCACCAGCTCAGCTCTCATCCCCAAGGAGCTGGCCCACCCTGAGAGGGGTGTGGCTGATGAGAAAGTGTGTGATGCCATATGGCAGAGAAGAGTAAAGAGACAGTGGTACAGATAATACCCAGGTGATGGTCAGGGAGGTCTCCAAGACTCAACAGAGGTGAGGAAATCCACCCATTGTGCTCAGATATGGCATAAAAGTGCCCTGGTGCCCAGAACTGTTCCTGAGATAGAGATGCATGAGGCATATTTGAGGAGAAGCAGAGAAATTAGTAGAATTGTGCTCTGTTCCATTTTCATGGCCGTAGCCCAAGACAGGGTCCTATGTTTTTAAAAGGAGTCGTCTTTTAACTTCATCGTTTTGGAGCCTAGCGTTTCAAGCAGCATGATGCAGGGTTTCTCTGGGGTCTCCCTAGCGGCATCATACTGTGGCAGATATGTGTGTGTGCTGTGTGTGTGCAGTGTGTGTGCAGTCACACGCACATGTATTACAGTCCTGCTTTATGAGTGCTACCATGTACACACACAGGTTGACCATATTCCTAATACTCAGGCCTGCATCGCATCACAGGTGTGCGTGTGTGTGTGTGTGTGTGTGTGTGTGTGTGTGTGTGTGTGTGTAACAATGACACTGTATTTGAGCACATGTTTGTGACCTCCTGAAACAGGCCCCGGTGCTATGCTGGCCTAGCAGAGAACTCAGGGCCTTGCCCAGCTGGCACAGACAGATTCCCAGCCTCTGTCCCCACCTCCACCTCCCTTACCTTCAGCCCCAGCTGCCTTCTGCTCAAAGGCTTTGCACAGACGCTCAAGTACCACGCTGTCACTGGAGCCTTCTACCCGGACTTCTTCATCTAAGACCCAGAAAAGGCCCCCAGCTTCCTCGGCACCTCTTCCTGCTGGTAAGTGGACCTGCTGGGAGACCCATGTGCACTGAGAGTCAGGTCTGGACATCTCTCCCAGCCCTCAGGACTAAGCATGCCTCATGGGACCCAAGAACATGTTCAGCCTTTACTTAACTCTCAGTAATGAGGCCGAGCTCTGTCTGCAAGGGGTTTAAATCCCCCCTGCCTCCATCTTTACCTCCAGTATGACCTTGGCCAACCTACTGTTCCCTCTGAGACTCATTTCTGAATGTGTAAAATGGAGCCTGGAAAGGCCTTCCCCAGAGGGTTGCCTTGGGGATTTAAGAAGGGTGTGTCTGCTTGTAATTCCTACACACACACACACACACACACACACACACACACACACACACACACAGAGCTGGGGACCGTGCACAGCCAGCCTGACACTTCACTCTCTCTCAGAAGTCTTACAGCGAGATCTCAGGGAATAACTTTAAAGAGACAAGCACTCAAGGAAATATTTTAGAGAACATGCACTTGATTCCATAGCAGACATGGAATTTTAAAGCTCGCCATAGCAACCTTCCAGGAAACCTACAGGTTTGCCTATTGGTACATGAGAGAGGCCTGGTGAGGTTTGAGCTGGCACAAGGAAACAATGGGCTGAGTAGTGATGGGGGCATGGGGCGTGGCAACATCAGCCAGCCCCAGAGTTATTGATACCCCGGGCTGCCCAGCACTTGGGGCACTCGGCGCTAAGGCAAGGCTCTGTGGCCTTTCTGTCTCCAAGGCCTGGAGAAGGCCAGGGACACATCCGAGGTCCCATGGTGAGTACCAGGAGCGAAGCCTAGAGGACCCTCGGCCGTCATCACTGGGATGAAGATGGACATCCTCAGGAGAGGCCCTCAAGTGCAGGGCCTCTGAGCACTGCACTCTCCCCGCTGACCCTTCCAGACAGATGGACAGGAAAGCCTATAGTGACAGCAGCTCCACACTTTCTAACAAAGGCTTGGCCTACAGCCACTCCCTAGGACTTTGGAAATCACTGCCTGTGATTTCACATGGACAGTGGTGGTACACTGTGACCAGGGGGAGCCGTGGCAACCGTCCTTGAGCAGCAGGAGACAGGACCAAGTACAGCATGCCAGTGGCAGAAGACGGGCCAAAGGGCCACTGACAGGGCACACTCCGTGACAACTGCTCCCGATGAAGTTATACCCACTCAGAGAAACACACTGCACCCACTTTGGAGAAGGGGAAACTGAGACTGAGAGAAATTAAAAGATGGTCTTGAAGTCATCAGGACTGAACCCATGCCCAGCCTGCTCTACAGCCTAAGAACTCTCACACCAAAAAGAAAAGGGAAAAAAACACAAAAATAAAAAGTATGGGTCATAGGTCAAAGGTCTGCAGCAAGGGTGAACTGGGAATGAGGATGATGTCAGTGAGGCATCTCCCATAGAAGCCTGTCTGCCTCCAAGGTCATCCCTCCCCCGAGTCTGCAGCCAGCATCTCCAGCTGACTTTCCTATGGCTCCACCTAGGAGCCACTAGCAACCCCAACACGAGGCTCTGATCAGGCCCACACATATCTGTCCCAAAGCACTTCTTCAGGACAGAGCTGAGTGGCCGATCTTAGGCCCAGGGGAGTTTCCAGGTCCACGCCAGTCAGTGTCTTAACCATCCCTAGGGAATCCAGGTGCAGAGAGCTTGGCGAATGGGCATCTCAAAGCCTTACATAGGCTGCGGTTTGATGTTGGAGAGCCTGGGTCCTTCCTTACCTGGGAGGGGTTCTGATCCACAACAGCCACCGTAGTTCCTGGGGAGGGCTCTAGGAGGTCAAAGGGCACGGAAATGCCTTCCTGAAATCCAAAGGACATAAACATTAGCTCCTGCTGTAAGCTCAGTCAAAGGGGGAAGGTTCCATCACTATTTGGCCATTTTTTTTTCAAAGTTAGTTTAAAAGTTGTGAAATATTCGTAACAGGAACTTTGCCCCTCTCGCCACTTAGAGTTTGCCCCTCTGGCATTGGTGGCATTCACAGCAGTGTGCAACCATCCCAGTTTCGTCCTCAAGAGCTGTTTAAAATCAACACCATGCAGGTTAGCAATAACAGGTTTTAATGCGCGCCGACAGTTTCACCTTGTGGAATGAAAAGGGCCCACTGCACGGCTCCCACTCTTCCCACGTGCCAAAACTGTGGACGACCCGACAGACCTTCCTGCCCTGTAACTTTGCACTCAGCACCTCGCCTAGGAAGTGTCACACGGTACATGTCCTTTGGCAACTGGCTCGTGTCACTCAGCAGAACATCCTCAAGGTTTGTCCATGCCATAACACACACCAGAATTAACTTCCTAAAGACTGGGTGATATCCCTTAGAACCTGTCGGCCATGTTTTCTTGATCTCGTCCAGTGTTGGACACTCGGGTGACCTAGCCCTCTGTCTACAGTGCCTAGTGGTACTGTGAACGTTGGTGTGGAAACATCTCGACAAAAATGTTTGGGCTGTGTACCCAGGAGTGAACCACACGCCCCAGAGCCACCCCCAGATGGAAGTGCCACCCGAGTGAGTAATGACACAAGGGTCTCTCATGCCATGTCTTCAAGGCAATTTATTCTATAGATATACCATCCCGGTGGTATCAGATATAGGCATACCACTCTCAATTTTCCATGTGCTGAGATCAAGGATTAGAGAAGGTGAGTAAGTTATCTAAGGCCACACAGCCAATCAGAGTTAGAGCCAGACTCTCCCACTCATACTTCTCCTTTCCTGTCTGATCCATGTTGGCTCCACACAAAGGACTGGCTGTGATTCGAGTGCCTGTTATCCTATAGAGAGCAAGATGGATGCTTCTATGGCTTGCCCTGAGCAGCTGGGGTCCTGACCCCATCCTCACCTGGGTGGCGGACACACACTTCGGCTACCTGGACACGGTGCCTTTGCTTTTTACTCAGGGTTTGTGCATTCCTCTATGCTGACGGTTTGAGTGTGCCCCAGCTGATGGCCAGCATGGGAGATGAAGAAAGGGGCCTTTCAGAGGCCTTATGTGGGCCTGACTCACATGTAAACAGCTTATGGAAAGCCCCACAGAAGGGGCGTGGCCAGGAACATGCACCTTCTACCCCATTAAAAATGGCTACTTGCCCTCCAGAGGGGCATTCAGCCCTGTGTCTGCCCACAGCGGCAGCTCCTGGGAGCCGACCGTGCCAAGGCAGATGGGGAGGAAGGCAGAGCTGGAGCTAGATGCTCTGTAGGTGACTCAGGCCACTTGGGGTGGATCCTCACTCCACCTGTCTGGCCTCACGCCCGGGCACAGGCCTGGAGGCCCCAGCGCAGCTGACACATACCTCTTGGTATCGCTCCAGCGTAGAGACAAAGGTCCTGTGGTAGAACAGCAGCTGCAGACGCTCCTGGGCATAATTATGACACAGCTCCTCGAAGGTGGCCGCCCGCTCCTTGCCCTGGTGCCGAGGATTCTGAAAGCCTGGAGAGTCAACCACCATGATGGAAGCCATAGACAGGTGGTGGGAGGAGAAAGATCTGGGGAGAGAGGAGAAAGGCCCCGAGCTAACACGGAGCCTGCTGGTTCAAGCCTCCCCTGCAGCAGAGGTGAAGAAACTGAGGCAGCATTCTAGGTGAATTTAGAGGTCTGGCTTCATATCCCAGCTCATCATTTATAGGCTGTGTGGCCTCCAGGCAACTTACTTAACCTCTCTGAGCATGACCTCCCCCAGCTGTTAAATGATGACAGGCGTGAGCCGGCCAACAGTAAAGGAAGTAGGGTTTAAATGCCAGTGCCCTCCCATGATTTGAGGACACAGCAAGCTTCCAACAGACCTCTGCATCAGGCCCCAAGTCAAAAGCCTCCCAATAATTCTCTCTTTCCCTGAGGCACACTGCAGCTGAGAAACCATTTTGTGTCTGTTATCTTTTTATTATTATTATTATTATTATTATTATTATTATTATTATTATTTTAAGTTATCATCCCTTTGGAGTTTTAAATGCTTCTTTCTGTCAAGGGTGAACAGCCTGGACAGCTTGAATCAAAAGATGGGATGGAAACCTTCTGAAGGAATCCCCTCTAGGGCTGCCATCCCACTCTGCAATGGAGGGGCTGTGTGTCTCCGGGGAGCTGCCTGACCTCTCTGATGATCAGCTGTGGAATGATTAAAGGTAGGGGCTAGCCCCAAAGGCTTCTGGGAGAATGGGACTTTACCCCACACCCATTGCTGTGACCATGTAACTTGCCCTGTGGTTGGTGCTCAGAAAAATTCCTCAGCTCCCTTCATTGCCAGTAACATCTACACTCAGATCTGGAGAGCAGGCTTTGAACCTCAGTTCTCACTTCCCTTTGTGAATATTTCTCTATCTATAAAACTGGGTCAAGCGGGGAAACCACTGCAGAGACATGATGAGAGGAGGATGAGGTATGGGGGCCAGGCACCTGCTAGACCCCATAACTGGCCTAGTGACCCTCCTTCTCATCAAAGCCTGTACTGTGGTGTTGCCGGCCTGCCATGGCCAGGAGAGGCAGCCTCTCCACCTCAGTTCACTCCCAACTCCAAGGCCAGCCCTCCCTTCCTCTAAGCACAATGATCCCTTGGTTTCTAGATAAGGCATGTGCCTCCGATGGATGGTAATTACTCAGACAGCGATAGAGGGAGTTGATTCCAAGGCCCTGGTGACTGGAGATCCCGGCTCGGTTGCTACGCAGCGGCTCATCCCTTAACAGGATTCAGAAGCCTAATTATGCTGTGCGCTCTTGCAGAGAAAGAGGGCCCCCTCCCTGTGTCTCCCAAGGCCACACTGGAGCCACCCAATGGGCTGCTGAGGAGGGCTGGGCTAAGAGAAGCCCAACACATGCCCTGGACTGCCCACCCGACAGGCCACTCCGCCTTTCTGTCCAATCTGTCCCCGAACCCAGCAGGAGAAGTCAGATAAATAAATGACAAGGGCAGTGTGGGAGGGGTAGCATCTTGCTGGCTCTGCCTCCACATCTCATTCTCTTTCACCTGCACACTGGCGTGGTGTGAGCCATCAATAACACAAAGCAACTGCCCCCAAAGCCATAACTTTTATTGGTGTGTGTGTGTGTGTGTGTGTGTGTGTGTATGCATGATGTGTGTTTTGTGTCTAGAGACCAGAGTCTCACATTTTCCATCTTCTGCCACTGCCCCTCTTTCTGTTTTTTGAGGCAGGGTTTCTCACTAAACCCAGAGCTCGGCGCTTTGGCTCGCCCAATCATCTGCCCATCTCCAGCTCCTTGGTGCTGGTATTGCTGATGTGCCCCTCCATGCCTGGCTTTTCTGGGAGAATGAACTTTCTGGGCTCTGAACTTTGTCTCTTTGGCTTGAGAGGGAGAATTTTGCCCAGTAAGCTGTGCCCCAGCCCCTGCTGTTGGAACTTTCACCATCAGAAGCTTATTTCAATGTACTGCTTGCTTCTTCTAATCTCCCAGTAAGCCGGGAGGACATTGGCACTTTAAGGTTGTGGAGACCACAGAGGAAAATGGGCTTGGTGAAGTCACACAACCGAAGGTGGTAGAATTGAAGCTCTGTTCTGCCTGTCTTAGAAGCTCTCCCTCTGTTCAAAATATCCCACTCTGCAAAATGGCCGTTGTTTGTGCACAGTGAGTGCTGTAAGGGGCCTGGGCTGAGCCTGACAAGAGCACTGTTACCTGTTGATGAGGGAGACCACAGCCACGAACAGCTCTTGGTACAGGCCGGAAGCCATCCCTTCCACACACTCCACACCCGTCATCTTGAGCCCTAGGATGGGGAGAGAGAAATCAGTATCCAGAGATCATGACCTCTCCCCAGGTCAAGGGCATCGATATGGAGTGACCAGGGTCACGGTTTTAGGACAAGGTGCAAACATCCATGGCCCTCATTATTGTAACCTATGTCTCCTTTAAGAGGCTGGGAGAAACAAGGCAGTCTGGGTCCACAAAGTCCTGCGATCCTCTGAACTGGCCAGGATCACCTTGTTATCCAGGCAGAGCAGATAGATGGTGAGATAATATGACTCCGCCAGTGCTGAGGGACAAGCCAGGAGCAGGACAGTGGGGGACAGCAGTGGTCTTCCCTCAGTGCTATGGGATGGGAAAGCTCAGCAGGCCTCAGGCTTGGCTGAATGCAGGGGCTCTAGGGCAGTCCATGAAAGCATCTGGCCTTGATGCTGCACCGTGAAGAAAGGCCAGTCACAGCTCCTGACCTTCCACCCAGTTCCCGGCACAGAATTAGAATCCCTTTCCCCTCAAGAAAAGCACTTCTGCTTGGACGTTCTAGACAGCCTTCCCACAGCCGCTCCCAAGCATTTCCCATCCCTCCTTTATCTCTATCCCCACCCTGGGCTGTTGCTAGGCAACCGACGGCCTCCCAGCATTGATCTGAGGCACACAGGCCCCTTGTCTCCTTAATGTCTATCTCTGAGACCTTTGCTGGACAGACCAACTCGGACTCAAGAAGTGCTGTGTCTGTCCGCCTGCCTGTATGTCAGGTGTGCATTCTTTTCATGCATGTGGCATGTATCCACAGGTGGGCACGGTCCCCCACGGTGGCTCAGGCCCAATCCAAGAGGCCATCCTATGGCTTTTTGTGTCACCTCAGCATCTACCCTAGACCCAGCATCTGCTACCCCCACCCCACTTCCACCACCGTGTTTCTGGTTCAGCAGCGTCCTCCCCTCTCCAGTGACTCTGTGTGTGTGTGTGTGTGTGTGTGTATGTGTGTGTGTGTGTCTGTATGTATGGGTCTAGACCAGAGGCTGAGCCCAGAACTTGCTCAGTGTGCCCCACGGGGCTTCTTTCTCAGTGTTGACATGCACTGCTCAGCCTAGCTTTTGGGTGGCCTCTAAGGATCCAAATGCAGGTCCCCGAGCTTGCATGTCAGGGACCCTCCGCACTGAGTCACGTCCCGGCCCTCACCTATGATTTCCACAGACTCTCTTCCTAGTCACTGCTTGGCCTCCCAGCTGAGATTTCCAGACCCTCCCCGTTAAGACAGTCGTTGCAAACTTTGTGTGCTCATCGGCACCTCTCCCCCACATCCCTCTCAGTCCCAGACACACAAGGCTTGTTCTCATCCCTCACACGGGGACGCCTGCCTCCCCCGCCTGTCAGGATCACCACAAAGACAAGCCGCAATGGAAACACATCGGCCCTTCGGTTACCAGCCAGAGTGAACTGTTTGACCATAAGCACCAGACAGGGAGGAGCCATTTCCTTTTCCCCCAGCTGGCATTCCCTAGCCCTCACACACGTGCACAGAGCAACTCTCAAAAGTCTTAATGGACATGTGAAAACACGGGAGAGCATGGGGTGCAGCTCCTAGTGCCACCACAGCAAGGTGCCGGGCACACAGAGGGCAGCCCTGAGGACATGGTACCTGAGCAGGCTTCCCTGTCCTCCAGGCCCTGGTGCTGAGGCCCCGACGTCATCTGCTGGATGATCTGCCGTAGGTGGTGCTTGAAGGTGGCGGTATTCAGCTCCTCATAATCACAGCCCAGGACCTCGGCGGCATGGTTGGCCCACTCAAACCGCATGAACTGCTTCCGGCCCACTGCACAGAGGATGAGGAAGGGGTGCGGGGTGAGGTGCCAGGCACGGGATGGCCGCATGCCCAAGAACACCTCAGGGAGCCGTGCCACCTTCCCACCTATTTTATGGTTTTCTTTTAAGCCATTAAAGATAGCATAGGGAAGCACCCTAAAAGGAGAATAGGGTAGAATGAGGGTATGTTCACACATGTAATTAGTTATGTGCATACCTGCTACCCTTTGACCCCGGCCTGCCCACTCAACCATGCAGCCACCTACCCAGGTACCTGGCCACACAGCCAACCATCCGACCAACCACCTGCACGTGCAGGACACGTCTGCTGAGCACCTCTGCTGTCAGAGCAAGAGATGCAGCTTACAGACCAGGGAGGGAGGGAGGCAGGAAGCCAGCAGGCAGAGAGGTGAGTGAGGAAACTTCAGGTGGAGAGCATTGAAAGGAGAAACCAAACCAGAGAAAGAGTGATGCAGGTTCTGCTAGGGTCTGCTGCTCAGAGGGACCCTGGGCAGATGTGACAGTGGGCCCGGGCTGCAACCACTAAGGATGAGGAGTCCATACAAAGTCCCTGAGGCAGGATGAGCACCGTCTGTCAAAGACAACCAGCCTGGCTGGAGCACAACAGGGAGGAGAGCAGAAAAGTGACGTCATCAGAGAAACACCGGGAAGCCGTGCTGGTGAATGGGGGGGGGGGGGGGGCGGCATTTAAAACACTTCTGGTTTCATGTAGCAAAGCAAGTGCTCGAAAGTAAAAGGTTTGGTTAAGAGTGGATGAGGAGCCAGGTGTGGTGGCTCATGCCTGTAATCCCAGCATTCAGGAGGCAGAGGCAGGCAGAGCTCTGTGAGTTCAAGGCCAGACTGTCTACAAATAGAGTCCAGGTCAACCAGGGCTACAAGAGAAACCCTGCCTCAAAACAAGCAAATAAACAAAATGGGTGAGAAACCATTGCACGAGATGCTGGGACATCATTTCTAAAGCGCTGTTACAATGAGAAAATGGGGAGGAGACGGGGAGATGGCTCAGCCTGGCAGGTGCTCACCACCAAACCTGAAAGACCTGAGTTCAATCCCCAGGATCCACACGGCAGAATGAGAGGGCTAACTCCTGCAGGTTGCCTGTGCGAGCCCCACAAAGAAATAGATGTCTTGAAATTATTTTAAATCACATGACAAACCGGAACACAGTCAGACAGAAATCATGACGGGCTGAGTGGACTGGTTTTGTGACCTAAATACAAATAACTGACTAATTAAAAAAATCACAATTGCTCCATCCAAGTGTTCTCTGTCTGCAGTCTTCTGGAAAACGTGTTTCTTTCTCTAAAACACAAACCACCGCTGCCTGCGGGCATTCCTCTGTCCCCCACGTGACTGCCAGAGCCCAGGGGGCCAGGCAGACAACCCAGCAATCAGTCTCACGGTGAAATTGGAACCCTGGGAGAGATTCTGCCTGAGACATTAACCAGCGCTACCCAGGGAGGACAGCACATGGTGGCTGCTTGCTGGGTGAGCCCGTGTGCCAGCTCCACAGGGGTGCTCACCCGGAGTCAGCAACGAAGCCGAGGCTCAGGGAGTCAATGAAAACAGATGGCATTGCTGATGAGGGTGGTGATGTGGGGTGTGGTTAGGATGGTGAGCGATGGTGATGGTGGTGGTGACAGTGATGGTGAGTGATGGTGATGATGGTGACAGGGATGGTGATGATGGTAAGTTTTGGTGATGGTGACAGTGATGGTGAGCGATGGTGATGATGGTGACAGTAATGGTAAGTGATGGTGATGAGGTGATGGTGTCAACAATAAGGGTCGTGACAGTAGTGGTTAAAGCTTACTGACCTTGCCTGGTTGACCATGCTACATGTTTAGTTCACCTTGTCCGGACCTGGGGGTCTAAATGAAGAGCCCCGTCCATTGTTTATCCCCACTATTAAATTTTCTTGAGGATCCTAGCACTACTATCATGTGTGCTTGTTGTTGATGATATTTTTGAGACAAGGTCTCACAATTCAGCCCAGGCCGGCTGGAGCTCACTGCACAGTTTAACTCTCAGCACCCCACCTTCCCCTCTGGGGGGCTGGCACTATGGACGTGGATGGTCACTGTCCCTTAAGATGAAAAAAAAGATTCAGAGAATCACCAGACAACAGACAGCTGCCTGTCCATCAAGTGTCACCTTGAAGAAACCTACCACATTAGGACTCAGATCCACACCCCCCCAACAGGGACTCAGTCGTCTCTTAGGTGAGCACATCGTTAGTTCTCTGTCTCAAAGGAGAACCACTGTCAGCTGTCACAGAGAAAGCAGAAATAAACACAACACAGGCGCCAGCGGGCCATTAGCCTCTAATTAGATCCCTTACCTCCCAGGCTAAAACCGCTCTCTCTTTGTTAGAGAGCTGAGCAGGCACTAGAGAGAAGCTGAACGGCCGCCAGGCCTGTTATCCCTTGGTGGGGCTTCCTTCTTCCTGCTCAAGGGGTAGTTGGTGGTGTGAACACACCAAGAGGAGGTGACTTCCTCATTGGTGTCCCCCTCCCCCTCCCCCGTACCACGTGCGTCTGTGCTGGAGTCTCTGCCCTTCTGTGCCCCCGCAGCTACCTGCCCAGTCTCAAGGGGCTGGTGAAGCTGGGGAGCGAGTTGGCAGTGAGGTTCTGGGAGGAGAAACTGGCGATCTGCTGGGCACTCTGTGGCTCCTCCTGACCTATGCGGGAGGAAGGAAGGAGGACATGCCAGGTTCTGCTGAGGGGCCTCCAGCTAGCGAAACCAAAGTAGCCTGTGGGGGATGGGGGTGTCCTTGGCCAGTAGCTTGAGTGCTGAACCCAAACTTGACTCCTCTGCCTTTGCTCTGACTGGGGCAACAGCCCTAGGCGTCCCAGAAAGGCCAGGGACTCAGAAGTGCCATCCGACGGGGAGAGAGAAGGTACTGGGTCATATCACCAAGAGGAGACAGCATCAGATTCCAATTTCTGCCACTGCCATTCCCAGATGACCGCTACTCCGGCAGCTGCACAGTTACCGTGATCCGTGAAAGACCACAGGAGCCCCAAGATCCTTCTAGAAGGGCGCAAGGACTGGGTGGAGATGACCAGAATGCCTAGAGCACGGCCACTGCATCTCCACCTGCAAACTCCAGGGGGCGCACTTTGCCGGGTCCCGGGCAGTGCAGGGCGCTCCCTGCCAGTCTATCAGCTCCTTCAGGAAATGGTTGGGTACCAGGGAGAATGCTAGGGCTGGGGATGAGCATCCCCTCTGGGCATCCTTGGCTGACTAAGCCTACTTCTCTACTGAAAGGAGGTTGTGTGTTATCCCAGTGTCCACTACCAACCCCTCCAAAGCCAGGGACATTGTACTCCCCAGAAGGTTGCAGGGGACAGGGGTTCCCCAGCGGCTGGAGTATCTCTTCCTCCCTCAGTTAACAGTAATGACAGCCACTGACACCCGAGTAGGGCTTACATGCCAGGGCCACTGCTGGGCCTCACCTTGTCCACGCTCACACAACCCTCCAGGAGCACGCACAGATGGAAACAGGCTACCACAACGCATGGCCAAGTTTCCCCTCCAAAGTGCTACAGGAAGTGGCCAGGAGCCTGCCCGCCCTGTGCAGCAGCTCCTCAGCTGTTCTGCCTTCCACAGATGAGCAGAGAACGGAGGGCGCAACCATGTTAGGCCATCCACCGAGGAATGAGTCAGGGAGTGGATGAGCTGTAAGGCTGATGGCCAGCCCTGGCCACTCTGTCCTTGCTTCTCCCTCCCAAGTCCTGGGAAAGAGAATGTAGGAGCACCCGTCTGCCCCCGAGGAGCCAGCCATCTGGACCATCAGCCCACCACCAGGTCTGCAGCAAGCTGAGATAAAAGCTGAAGAGAAAAGCAAAGGGAGCCTGACGGAGGGATGGGAAGGGGCTGTCAGAGAGGGCAGAACTCCTGACTGACAGGGAACAGGGTGGGTCTTCCCCTGCCCCAGGTTGCAGGGGGGTTGACCATACATTCCCGATTCTCTTCTCACTGGCCACCAGAGCGCCACAGGCTGTATCTGACATAGCCCCACTGCACGCTGGAGCACCAGCCATTTCCTGGGTTTCTGGTGAGAAACAAGCCTCTCCCATGGCAGGATTCAGGCGCCCCCACCCCCACCCTTGCTCCCCAGATCACAGTGCCGCCCCTCCTGGTTCCCTCTAGGCTCATGTCGCATATTGTCCCTGGACACTTACCTCAGCATCTTCACCCCACCAAGGTCCCAAGCCAAGGTGGCCCTGGAGAGGCCACCACCCATGTTCAGAAACCAACGGCTAACTGTTTTCCCTTCAAATGATGGAGCCCAAGGAAAGACTCCAGCGGGGAAGCCAACCTCTCAGCCAGCTGCCATCTCTCTTGCTGCCATCTTGTTTATACCCCAGAGGCTACCTGCACATCTGAGTGAGGCCAGGCTCAAAGCATCAGCCACTTAGGCAGGGCAGGGCTGACTTGAGGGTCAGTGGCAGCAGGTGTGGAACAGGGCAGGATGGCCTCAGGGTTGGGTTTCAGTTTCTCCAGTTTCAGTAGAAGGAAAAGTGACTCCTAGGGCTGCAGTCACAGCCAGGTCCATAAAGTGAGGGCCTGAGTTCAGGTCCCCAGCACCATGACAGAAGTGTATTATCAGCCGGCGAATAACATAAAATCCCAGCACGGAAGAGGTGGAGACCAAAGCCCTGGCCAGCCTGTCTAACCAAACAGGAATGCGTCAGGTTCAATGAGAGACATTGTTTCAAAAAAAAATAAGGTGGAGAGAGCTTGGGGGAAGCAGCCGGAAGTCACTCTGGCCTCCTAGGTCGTGACAGCCGTATATACACAGAGGAAAATGATCCCCGTACAGTATCCATGTCACAGCCCAGCTAAGTGTGGTCTCCGAGGGACTTCTCAGAGCCTGCAGCGATTATCTAGGTCCCATCAAACACTGGCCCAGGAAACTCTGGCTCAGCTGAAAGAGCCCCCACGCTTATTCTGTCTATAGAACTACCCGGCATGCAAAGCTTT